AAAAAATGGGAAGGGGAATGGGAGTTTAATGTAGGGAGTTGGATTGAGATTAGACATGAGGTGAGTCGTTTTATTCCCAATCCTCTGTTTGGCGCACGATGAAAATTATGTGTGAGAGTTTGATGAGAAATTGTATTTCCGTGTTTGGTTCGTGGGAATTGACAAGGAAATAGATAAGGGAAATTAATGTAAGTTATGATGAAGGGCTAAGATTGACTCACTAAAACAATTCCCTTCCAACTCTCACCCCCTCCCTTGTTAATAAAACGATGGGAGTTGGAGTCTCAAGTCCCATGACTATTCCCTTATCAATTCCCAATCTCCCTAACCAAACAATAGATTTGAAGTCTCGTACCCCTTCAATTCCCATTCTCTAGCTCTAACTACCCCCAACCAAACATGTTGTGGGAGTTTCACCTCAAAATAAAAACCTGGGAGTTTAGAATCTGTAGGAATGTATTTTCTAGTCTTAGTCCAACACGTCAAATTAAATGATAACGTCACCCCATAGTGATTTCAGAATTATGGGTTTCCTAGTGGGCGTTACTAGTCGAGAATGCCCAGTACCATATATCATCACATCACAAAAGGTTAGAATAGCTCATCTCAAGTAGCACCCGTCACCAATAGTCAGTCTGTTGCTGGTGTGAAGGTCATATCGCACACAGTTGGATTAATGTGCGCAACGTGGTACCTCAATGCATAATGATTTATGATTGATATGGAGGATCGTGTGTGATGTGGTAGTTCAATGTGCAAGGCCTTCCGGATGGTATGCATGCGTTGTGATCACATCATACACGTGTTTTCTGATTTGACCGTGTGAATAGAGGTCAATTGTTCACTGTCACAATTTGGTCATGTGCGATATAACATCAAGATAGGCATTCATGGATTTTATCAGCCATGCATATTTCATCACACGCACACAAGATTTAATCAGCCATGAATAGACAATCTCCCTTTTTTAGTTGGCCAATTTGAACAAGTTAAAGGTACAGTCGCCTACAACAACTTAAACATGCAAGCTCTACAAAGACTAAGAGTGAGAGCTAAACTTATGATAAATAGATTGAGAGCTAACTTAGATTCCATAAATTTTCTACATTTTCACAATCCTTTTATATTCATGTCTTTTTTCTATTTCTACGTTTTTGAAATCCTACAAAAGTACAAATCCATCAAAATAGGGTGCTGAGACCTCCATTTTTGCAAATCAACCCTGGCAACTGCTCTCCCATGTCCCATGAGAAGATCCCCCTATGGGCCTCAATCTGAAGATATTTCTTTCTTCTTCTTAAGAACATGCCTCATATCTTCAACTATTTTAGAAGTTAGGTCGATAGGGATTGTGATACTAATCGATTCGTATGTGTTCTTACAGTGTACTTCCTCCGTTCCGAATTACTTATCTTGGATTTGTCTAGATACGGATGTATCTAGACTCATTTTAGTGCTAGATACCTTCGTATCTAGACAAATCTAAGACAAGTAATTCGGAACGAAGGGAGTACTACTTTACTTCATCGCTGACCCCATGAAGAGGGGCCCAAGGCGCAGTGTCGATGATATTTGAAAATGCAGGGAAAAAATGTTCTTTGACCAGTACAAGCAGTGCATTATATCATCGCTGACTCCATGAAGAGGGGCCCAAGGCGCAGTGTCGATGATATTTGAAAATGCAGGGAAAAAATGTTCTTTGACCAGTACAAGCAGTGCATTATAGAAATATAAAAAATGGTGAATGCGCTAGGAAGGGATCGAACCTTCGACTTTTTGTTTAGGAAACAAATGCTCTATCCACTGAGCTACAAGCGCTGTACATCACAGCAATCCCGCTGGCATCTTTTGGGCTGGGCCGGAATACCACAAACGGACATTTGCAGATTTGGCCTTTTCCGGAAGCTAGCCATCACAATTTGGCCTTTTCTCCGTACTTCAAACTGGTCTGGCACGGCGTTTTCTCTCTCAAAAAAAATGACAACGCATGAGCCTCGTTGAACTACAACCCCGTCAAACTCAAACAGAAATAACCATCTACAAATGCCGGTGAACGGAACGAACATTTTTGCTATGATCAACAATGAAACAATCAATTACAGCAGGAAGGAGAAAAAGAATCAGCTCGACATTTCCTCTTTAATCATGACCAGGAGAAGAAGAAAAAAGGAAAAGAAAGAGAAACCAGAGCCACTCCACGCCATAGTCCAGACAGTGCACCAGGCAGGGTATACACGGACCTCCATACGCTCACCTCACATTCCAACCCCCAAAAAATGGTGCCTCGGCGACAGTCCGCTGCTTGCGAAGTCATTGGCAACAGGCGAATTCGCCCTCCGGCTTTTCAGCTGAAAGAATCTAATCACACGCTGGCAGCAGAGCTTCAACAGAGCAACCTCTGTTAACCCAAAGGATCGCAAAAAGAAAGAATGAAGTATCCTTAATCCTCTGTGTCACGAGAACCAGATGGCTCGGGGAAGATCTCCTTAGATTGCCTCCTGCGGGACGAAGAGTGATCACCATTGCTCCCTCCAGATGATTTGATTGTCTCTGACCGTTTAAACATGTTATCATCCCTTGAAGGACCAATCTCTGACGAGCTATGCCGCCAACTCCCGAAGAATGCAGCATTCCATGAACCCCTTGAAGATGTTGCTCTCAACCTGGCCGAGCTAGAGCCGTTATCTTCTCTTACCACTTTCAAGGGATTCTCAAGTGCTTTTAGGATATATTTCATTGGTGGCCGCTTCGAAGACCTAGGATTCAAGCAAGACTTCGCGACAATTGCCATTGCCCAGACTTCCTCCAAATGATCCTCATCAATAATGAGGGTTGGGTCAATGATTTTGCTCATGAGCTCTTTCTCATAAATGTTGATGTACCTCAGGGTGTTATCAAGCCAATCACTTGTTGTACCGTCACTTGATGCACTGATACCAAGTCTCCCTGTCACCAGCTCCAGCAATACTTTTCCAAAGCAGTAGACATCGTATGAACATGATGCAGATGGAGAACCTGTTTACATTAGAGCTGCTGGTCAGTTTACTTGCAACCATGAAAAATATTTATGGGCATGTTAAAAATGGGCCTAAACTAGAGGATAATTGCCAATGCTGAAATGCTTCAAATCAATGAAATTGTATGTGGATGCACTCACCAGAAGAACTTTGATCCGCCGTCCTGCATCCCAGAAAACAATACAACGTTAACAACGGAGGGGATTTAATTTAATCTGATATAAAATTAAATTACTTAAAAAGAGCAGAAATTTGGTGACAACTGAAAAATATTAGGATGCCACAAGCAACAAAGAAGAAACTGAGACAAAAATTATTTGCATCAACTAATTCAGGTAATTTTGTTTTCAGATAGTTTGATCTAATACATCCTCAGTGAGTGGCAAGAGTGAGGGACAAAAATCTACAGAAGTGGCATCCAGTAATTGACTGCAATAATTACTACAATGCTCAAGTTGAACACATGCTTTCAAAAGGTACTTGGTTCACAATAATTTGACTTGACCCATGTTAAGTTGCCAGTTACATGATCTAATATTTCCTTGGAGATATTAGCAAATAAATGGCTGTGATCAAGTCAGGTGATAGATGCAGTACCAAATGATATAGAGATTTTGAGTCTAGACACGTGGAAAAAAAAGGCACGGGTTAGCAAATAAGATGGGACATGATCAATTGAAGATGGATGTAATAATGAGAGCTCGAGTCATAAGTGACACGTGAAAGGCTTACACTGACTTTTAAAAAGCATAATTTACAGGCTTGTAACGGACGAGTAGTATGGTGCGATTTTGTAACAGACCGAGTAGTATGGTGCAAAATGGGCATTTTTACAGGTTTGTAAAGGACGAGGTAGTATGGTACAAAATGGGCAATTTTACACGTTTGAGCAAATAAGGTACATGAGCCAATCATCCAGTGAAAGAAACAGAAACTTACGATGAGAATCGTAATAGCTTTGTGATGACGTTTTGGTGACTTTCCCCTTCTTGAGGACAAACTTCACTCAAACTTCCAAGACGCACTTCAAATTTATCATCAAGGAGGATACTGCTGGCTTGCACATCCCTGTAGCAGAGAATTCATGAAGTTAGCTCAACAGCTAGTATTTCTCTCAGGATCTTATTCTGCATGACAGGTTGGTATTAAAAATAATGTTCCTGGTAAAATGAATGAGAACATTATAGAATTGCCTATCATTTTGTATATTGATATTGTGGTAGGATGATTTTTCAACAGTTTAATACAAGAAACTTGTCGATAGCAACTGACGGCAATGTATGATCTCACAAACAAGAAAATCATTTAAGTAAAAAGAAATAAATTGCTAACCAATTGATGTAGTGATTGGTCGTGTGGAGATAGATAG